ACGTGTGGTGTCGGGGGAGGGAGCAGTGCTGGAGGGGGGGGGGGGGGGGTTGTAGCTCTGGATGTGACGGAGGGGGGGAGGTACTTCCTGCTTCCTCTCCAGCACAGGGCTGATCTCGGGGGCCCGGGGCTCTGCAGGTCTGTGCTGGGGGTTCTGGGAGATCCCCATGGCTCTGGTCAGGCTGTGATTGGCCGGCGGAGGGCCCCTGGACGGCTCCCAGATGATCTGCTCCGTGACGGCTGGAGACAGACTGAGCCTCTCCTCCAACCGGAGGGAGCTGGAGAAACCCCTGCCGGAGGGGGACACGGCACAGGTAGGAGAGACCTATACATGTATGATATGAGACGGGGCGTGTGTGTCCTCCATACGTGATCATCTACTACATACCTACATGTGTGTCCTCCATACGTGATCACCTACTACATACCTACATGTGTATCCACCATACGTGATCACCTACTACATACCTACATGTGTGTCCTCCATACGTGATCACCTACTACATGCCTACATGTGTGTCCTCCATACGTGATCACCTACTACATACCTACATGTGTGTCCTCCATACGTGATCACCTACTACATACCTACATGTGTGTCCTCCATACGTGATCACCTACTACATACCTACATGTGTATCCACCATACGTGATCACCTACTACATACCTACATGTGTGTCCTCCATACGTGATCACCTACTACATACCTACATGTGTGTCCTCCATACGTGATCACCTACTACATACCTACATGTGTGTCCTCCATACGTGATCACCTACTACATACCTACATGTGTGTCCTCCATACGTGATCACCTACTACATACCTACATGTGTGTCCTCCATACGTGATCACCTACTACATACCTACATGTGTGTCCTCCATACGTGATCACCTACTACATACCTACATCTATAACCTCCATACGTGATCACCTACTACATACCTACATGTGTGTCCTCTATACGTGATCACCTACTACATACCTACATGTGTATCCTCCATACGTGATCACCTACTACATACCTACATGAGTGTGCTCCATACGTGATCACCTACTACATACCTACATGTGTATCCTCCATACGTGATCACCTACTACATACCTACATGTGTATCCTCCGTACATGATCATCTACTACATACCTACATGTGTATTCTCCATACATGATCACCTACTACATACCTACATGTATAACCTCCATACATGATCACCTACTACATACCTACATGTGTATTCTCCATACATGATCACCTACTACATACCTACATGTATAACCTCCCTACATGATCACCTACTACATACCTACATATATAACCTCCATACATGATCATCTACTACATACCTACATGTATAACCTCCATACGTGATCACCTACTACATACCTACATGTATAACCTCCATACGTGATCACCTACTACATACCTACATGTATAACCTCCATACGTGATCACCTACTACATACCTACATGTATGACCTCCATACCATGTAGGAGGGTCTCTCCTGGATCACTTGCCGATGCGGGTGCAGTCCGGGAGATGACCTGACATGTATGTTTCTGGCACTGTGTGACCCCCATCCCGTGTTGTTCCAGGTTCCCGTGACCTTCGATGATGTGGCGGCGTACTTCTCGGAGGACGAGTGGAAGGACCTGGAGGAATGTCAGAAGGAACTCTACAAAGACATGATGAAGGAGAACTATGAGGCGCTGATATCTCTGGGTATGACCCCGCCCCTTCCTGAATGGACCAATCAGTGATCAGCGCCCATCACTCCTATGTTCATTCATTACTGAAGCATAGTAAGCTGTTTATGAGGCTTCAGGTTGTGAATGGAGGGGGAGGCCTCTGCACAGAGCTCTTCCCGTCCATGAATGGAGGGAGAGGACAGTAGACAGGGTCAGTAGGGCAGTGGACGGTGTCAGTCATAGGGTAGTGGACGGTGTCAGTAGAGCAGTGGATGGTGTCAGTAGGGCAGAGGATGGTCAGTAGGGCAGAGGATGGTCAGTAGGGCAGAGGATGGTCAGTAGGGCAGAGGATGGTCAGTAGGGCAGTGGACGGTGTCACGGTGTCAGTAGGGCAGTGGACGGTGTCAGTAGGGCAGTGGACGGTGTCAGTAGGGCAGTGGACGGTGTCAGTAGGGCAGTGGACGGTGTCAGTAGGGCAGTGGACGGTGTCAGTAGAGCAGAGGACACCATCCACTTCCCTACTGACACCGTCCACTTCCCTACTGACACCGTCCACTGCCCTACTGAAACCGTCCACTGCCCTACTGACACCATCCACTGCCCTACTGACACCGTCCACTGCCCTACTGACACCGTCCACTGCCCTACTGACACCGTCCACTGCCCTACTGACACCGTCCACTGCCCTACTGACACCGTCCTCTGCCCTACTGACACCGTCCTCTGCCCTACTGACACCGTCCTCTGCCCTACTGACACCGTCCACTGCCCTACTGACACCGTCCACTGCCCTACTGACACCGTCCTCTGCCCTACTGACACCGTCCTCTGCCCTACTGACACCGTCCTCTGCCCTACTGACACCGTCCTCTGCCCTACTGACACCGTCCTCTGCCCTACTGACACCGTCCTCTGCCCTACTGACACCGTCCACTGCCCTACTGACACCGTCTACTGCCCTACTGACACCGTCCTCTGCCCTACTGACCATCCTCTGCCCTACTGACCATCCTCTGCCCTACTGACCATCCTCTGCCCTACTGACACCATCCAGTGCCCTATTGACACCGTCCTCTGCCCTACTGACACCGTCCTCTGCCCTACTGACACCGTCCACTGCCCTACTGACACCGTCCACTGCCCTACTGACACCGTCCACTGCCCTACTGACACCGTCCACTGCCCTACTGACACCGTCCACTGCCCTACTGACACCGTCCACTGCCCTACTGACACCATCCACTGCCCTACTGACACCATCCACCTCCCTATGACTGACACCGTCCAATGCCCTACTGACACCGTCCAATGCCCTATGACTGACACCGTCCACTGCTCTATGACTGACACCGTCCACTGCTCTATGACTGACACCGTCCACTGCTCTATGACTGACACCGTCCACTGCTCTATGACTGACACCGTCCACTGCCCTACTGACACCGTCCTCTGCCCTACTGACACCGTCCTCTGCCCTACTGACACCGTCCTCTGCCCTACTGACACCGTCCTCTGCCCTACTGACACCGTCCACTGCCCTACTGACACCGTCCACTGCCCTACTGACACCGTCCACTGCCCTACTGACACCATCCACTGCCCTACTGACACCATCCACCTCCCTATGACTGACACCGTCCAATGCCCTATGACTGACACCGTCCACTGCTCTATGACTGACACCGTCCACTGCTCTATGACTGACACCGTCCACTGCTCTATGACTGACACCGTCCACTGCTCTATGACTGACACCGTCCACTGCTCTATGACTGACACCGTCCTCTGCCCTACTGACACCGTCCTCTGCCCTATGACTGACACCGTCCACTGCCCTATGACTGACACCGTCCACTGCCCTATGACTGACACCGTCCACTGCCCTATGACTGACACCGTCCACTGCCCTATGACTGACACCGTCCACTGCCCTATGACTGACACCGTCCACTGCTCTATGACTGACTCACCTTGCTAGTTAATTACTTACCTCAGCGATGTTTGAGCTCTTTCGTGTTATTCGGGTGAATTTCCACCTCTCAAAGGCTCTGGGATATTCCAAAGAATTGGAGAGGGATGTCAAGGTGTCGATCGTTTCTCCAAAATCTTTTGAATTTCCCTCTCAATGTGTAAAGAAAGATCTAAAATAACTCTTCAGCCACTTGGAGTATCTTGGCACAAGGTGGGAGTACCATGTGGTGGGGGGGATCCCAGATCAACCTTCATGGGGTCCCAGAAGCTTCATGTTACGCTTGTGGTGGGGTGGGGGGATCCAAGATCAACCTTCATGGGGTTCCACAAACTTCACGTTACGCTTGTGGTGGGGTGATCCCAGCTCAACCTTTATGGGATCCCAGAAACTTCACGTTACGCTTCTGTTGGGGTGGGGGGATCCCAGGTCAACCTTCATGGGGTCCCACAAACTTCACGTTACGCTTGTGGGTGGGGTGGGGGGATCCCAGTTCAACCTTCATGGGGTCCCAGAAGCTTCACGTTACGCTTGTGTTGGAGTGGGGGGATCCCAGGTCAACCTTCATGGGGTCCCACAAACTTCACGTTACGCTTTGTGTTGGGGTGGGGGGATCCCAGATCAACCTTCATGGGGTCCCACAAACTTCACGTTACGCTTGTGGTGGGGTGGGGGGGATCCTAGTTCAACCGTCATGGGGTCCCAGAAGCTTCACGTTGTGCTGGGGTGGGGGGATCCCAGTTCAACCTTCATGGGGTCCCACAAGCTTCACGTTACTCTTGTGGTGGAGTGGGGGGGATCCTAGATCAACCTTCATGGGGTCCCAGAAGCTTCACGTTACGCTTGTGGTGGGGTGATCCCAGATCAACCTTCATGGGGTCCCACAAACTTCACGTTGTGCTTGTGGTGGGGTGGGGGGATCCCAAATCAACCTTCATGGGGTCCCACAAACTTCACGTTGTACTTGTGGTGGGGTGGGGGGGATCACAGATCAACCATCATGGGGTCCCAGAAGCTTCACGTTACTCTTGTGGTCACATTTTCTTTGCGTTGAGCGTTCACCACGTAGCGGCCCTTGGTGCGGTTATTCACTTTCTCTCTCTCTCTCTCTCTGTCGTAGAGGATGGACCAGTGAATGACAAGGAGAAGATTATCTCCAAGTACAGCGAGAAGCTGGACAATGTTGTCCCATCGGCGCTGCCCGTGTTGGATCCGTCTTCGGCATGTTCTGGCATCGTGGGTAACAGTAGCAGTCAGTCTGCCGGTGGTCAGCTCCAGGGGAACAAGGAAGAGGTCCATTCCGAACACGCCTCCTCCTACCTGGACAGCTTCAGCCCCGGCATGGCCGACCCCACCAGGGACGAGGGGGAGAAAGCCTACCAGTGCACAGAGTGCGGGAAGAACTTCAGAAAGCGAGACAGCCTAAAGCGCCATCAGCAGACTCACACGGGAGAGCGCCCCTATAACTGCATAGAGTGCGGGAAGAGCTTCATCCAGAAGCAGCACTTGGTCACCCACCTCAGGACCCACACGGGGGAACGGCCTTACAAGTGCGAGGAGTGTGGGAAGAGCCTGAGCACCAACGAACGGCTGAAGATCCACCAGAGGATCCACACCGGTGAACGCCCCTACAAGTGCGAGGACTGCCGGCAAGAGCTTCCGAGCCCACAGAGTGCTGAAGGTTCACCAGCAGACCCACACCGGCGAACGCATCCACAAGTGCGAGGAGTGCGGCAAACGCTTTCGGCACAAGCAGACGCTCATGGCTCACCAGAGAAGCCATTCTGGGGAGACCAGTTACAGCTGTAATGAGTGCGACGAGAGTTTCCGAACCTTCAAGCACCTGAAGTTCCACCAGAAGCTGCACCGCGGAGAAAAGCCGCATGAGTGCGAGGACTGCGGCAAGGGGTTTCGAAAACGGGAACACTTGAGACGTCATCAGCAGATCCACACGGGCGAACGTCCTTTCTCCTGTGAGGAATGTGGCAAGGGCTTCATCCAGAAGCATCACCTTATTCGCCACCAGAGGACCCATTCTGGTGAACGACCATTCACTGTGGTCATTGTAGAAGAGTTACCGTACGCCAACTCATCCAATGGCAACTGCCGAGGCAGCCCACACATCTGCAGCGAGTGCGGAAAAAGCTTTTACCACGTACGAGCACCTGAAGAGACACAACCGTCTCCACACTGGTCAGCGGCCCAACAAGTGCGAAGACTGCGGCAGGACCTTTAAGTCTCAGAAGCTTTTGAAAGCCCACAAAAAGGCCCAGGATGAGGAGACGGGGCAGTGCCGGGATGAAGACAGCGAGAACAGCGAGAGCCAGCGGCCAGCACCTGGAGAGAAGCCATTTGAGTGCGGCGAATGCGGCAAAATGTTCCGCTTCCTCAAGCACTTGAAGTTCCACCTTCACACCCACACCGGGGAGAGGCCCTTCAAGTGCGAGTCTTGCCAGAAAACATTTCGCAAACGGGACTGCCTGAAGAGGCACCAACAGATCCACACAGGGGAGCGACCGTTCACCTGCGCCGACTGCGGCAAAGGCTTCATTCAGAAGCAGCACCTGGTGAGACACCAGAGAACTCACACCGGGGAACGACCCTACATCTGCAGCGAATGCGGGAAAACGTTCAGCACCTGCGAACATCTCAAGATACACGGCCGCACCCACACGGGGGAAAAACCGTACAAGTGCAACGACTGCGGGCAAAGCTTCCGTAAGCGGGAGTACCTCAAGTGCCACCAGCAGACCCACACCGGGGAACGGCCTTTTACCTGCTCCGAGTGTGGCAAAAGCTTCATCCAGAAACACCACCTCATTGCACATCTCCGTACCCATACCGGGGAGAGACCTTACCAATGCAATGACTGCGGCAAAACTTTTCGGCACAAGCAGAATCTGACCACGCACCAAAAGATCCATGGCATTGGCTTGTAAGGTCAAAATGAATGGCTTTTTATAAAAAGTTTTAGTGTTGCTCTTTTATTACTTCTGTGGCCGGCGTGGAGTTGGAGACCAGTTGCTATAGGATGCAACCCTGTAGAGCAGTGGTGCTCAGGTGGTGGCCCAGGAGATGTGTGTGGTGTGGACCTGGGACCAGGAACATGTCTGCATTGTACAAACTGCTTGGGATTACTGCAAATTTGGCACAGCTGGGTAAGCCTTGTGGTTCCCAGGTGTCCCATGATCGTGAAAGTCCACTCCCACCCTACAGTATGGCAGACCCAGTGCACTTCTAAGAAGGTCCTATGGTCACTTGGTTGGCACAGCTAGGTAAGCCTAGTGGTTCCCAGGTGTCCCATGATCGTGAAAGTCTACTCCCACCCTGCAGTATGGCAGACCCAGTGCACTTCTAAGAAGGTCCTATGGTCACTGTTGGTTGGCACAGCTGGGTCAGCCTAGTGGTTCCCAGGTGTCCCATGATCGTGAAAGTCCACTCCCACCCTACAGTATGGCAGACCAACTGCACTTCTAAGAAGGTCCTATAGTCACTGCTGGTTGGCACAGCTGGGTCAGCCTAGTGGTTCCCAGGTGTCCCATGATCGTGAAAGTCTACTCCCACCCTGCAGTATGGCAGACCCAGTGCACTTCTAAGAAGGTCCTATGGTCACTTGGTTGGCACAGCTAGGTAAGCCTAGTGGTTCCCAGGTGTCCCATGATCGTGAAAGTCTACTCCCACCCTGCAGTATGGCAGACCCAGTGCACTTCTAAGAAGGTCCTATGGTCACTGTTGGTTGGCACAGCTGGGTCAGCCTAGTGGTTCCCAGGTGTCCCATGATCGTGAAAGTCCACTCCCACCCTACAGTATGGCAGACCAACTGCACTTCTAAGAAGGTCCTATAGTCACTGCTGGTTGGCACAGCTGGGTCAGCCTAGTGGTTCCCAGTTGTCCCATGATAGTGAAAGACCACTCCCACCCTACAATATGGCAGACCCAGTGCACTGTTGGCACAGCTGGGTCAGCCTAGTGGTTCCCAGGTGTCCCATGATGGTGAAAGTCCACTCCCACCCTACAGTATGGCAGACCCAGTGCACTTCTAAGAAGGTCCTATGGTCACTGCTGGTTGGCACAGCTGGGTCAGCCTAGTGGTTCCCAGGTGTCCCGTGATAGTGAAAGACCACTCCCACCCTACAATATGGCAGACCCAGTGCACTTCTAAGAAGGTCCTATGGTCACTTGGTTGGCACAGCTGGGTCAGCCTAGTGGTTCCCAGGTGTCCCATGATAGTGAAAGTCCACTCCCCACCCTACAGTATGGCAGACCCAGTGCACTTCTAAGAAGGTCCTATGGTCACTGTTGGTTGGCACAGCTGGGTCAGCCTAGTGGTTCCCAGGGTGTCCCATGATAGTGAAAGACCACTCCCACCCTACAATATGGCAGACCCAGTGCACTGTTGGCACAGCTGGGTCAGCCTAGTGGTTCCCAGGTGTCCCATGATAGTGAAAGTCCACTCCCACCCTACAGTATGGCAGACCCAGTGCACTTCTAAGAAGGTCCTATGGTCACTTGGTTGGCACAGCTGGGTCAGCCTAGTGGTTCCCAGGTGTCCCATGATAGTGAAAGTCCACTCCCACCCTACAGTATGGCAGACCAACTGCACTTCTAAGAAGGTCCTATAGTCACTGCTGGTTGGCACAGCTGGGTCAGCCTAATGGTTCCCAGGTGTCCCATGATAGTGAAAGACCACTCCCACCCTACAATATGGCAGACCCAGTGCACTGTTGGCACAGCTGGGTCAGCCTAGTGGTTCCCAGGTGTCCCATGATAGTGAAAGGCCACTCCCACCCTACAGTTTGGCAGACCCAGTGCACTTCTAAGAAGGTCCTATGGTCACTTGGTTGGCACAGCTGGGTCAGCCTAGTGGTTCCCAGGTGTCCCATGATAGTGAAAGTCCACTCCCACCCTACAGTATGGCAGACCCAGGGCACTTCTAAGAAGGTCTCTTCCCTATTCCCTTGATCCTGAAGTAGTTTAGGAACAGCACTATATGTGGCCTTTAAGATGGGTTGATGACTCCAGTGTAGACCTGGATTGCCCACCACGTCTTTGGTGGAACAGAATGTTTCCTATTGGTGTGGTCCAATGAAGGTTAGAGCATCGCTGATAAAATGTCTGCAGATACAAATGTATCAAATAATTCTCCTGATTGGCCTTGTTGATGCTACGTATCAGGGATCTCCAAACTTTCTGAACAAAGGGCCAGTTTACTGTCCTTCAGACTTTCTTGGGGGGTGGGAACCATGCCCAGTGGGTTGTAGGAAATGTCCTGGCATCAGTGGGTGCAAACAATGTCCCATCTTTGGTATTAGGGGAATTGTTAGTGCCCCATCGTTGGTGTCAGTGGGAGGAATAGTGCCCCATCATTGGTGTCAGTGGGAGGAATAGTGCCCCATCATTGGTGTCAGTGGGAGGAATAGTGCCCCATCATTGGTATCAGTGGGAGGAATAGTGCCCCATCATTGGTGTCAGTGGGAGGAATAGTGCCCCATCATTGGTGTCAGCGGGAGGAATAGTGCCCCATCATTGGTGTCAGCGGGAGGAATAGTGCCCCATCATTTGTGTCAGCGGGAGGAATAGTGCCCCATCATTGGTGTCAGCGGGATGAATGATGCCCCATCATTTGTGTCAGTGGAAGGAATAGTGCCCCATCATTGGTGTCAGTGGGAGGAATAGTGCCCCATCATTGGTGTCAGTGAGGGGAATAGTGCCCCATCATTGGTGTCAGTGGGAGGAATAGTGCCCCATCATTGTTGTCAGTGGGAGGAATAGTGCCCCATCATTGGTGTCAGTGGAAGGAATAGTGCCCCATCATTGGTGTCAGTGGGAGGAATAGTGCCCCATCATTGGTGTCAGTGGGAGGAATAGTGCCCCATCATTGGTGTCAGTGGGAGGAATAGTGCCCCATCATTGGTGTCAGTGGGAGGAATAGTGCCCCATCATTGGTGTCAGTGGGATAAATAGTGCCCCATCATTGGTGTCATTGGAAGGAATAGTGACCAATCATTGGTGTCAGTGGGAGAATTAGTGCCCCATCATTGGCGTCAGTGCACGAATCATTGCCCCATTTTTGGTGTCAGTGGAAAGAATAGTGCCTTGTATCAGCGGGAGCAAAAAAAAACCCCCCAAGGGCAGCAAAGGGCCGCATTTGGCCCCCCAGGCTGCAGTTTGGAGACCACTGCTATATATCGTCATTTATTCATCAGAGAAAAACAAAAGTGCAATCTACCAATACAATGAGTAAATGGAGACGATTAAAAGGAATGAAATGTGCCAAGCGTAAGAGTCCGTACAGTCAGTGACACCTTACTCTTCTTCCATTTTGTATTATGAAGACTTTGCTTTTGTTACCCAGAACCCCCCACCCACCCCAGATGAATTGAGAGAGAGCCCCCAGGTGGCAGATATGGTGAACAGGGAAGGCCCGTGTGGAGGTCTGTAGGACCATCACATACAAGGCAATAATACGACAGGTCCTCTTTAGAAACCTGAGACTTTGTAAAGTCACTGAGCTCTAGAAGACATTAAAGTTTGGCAGAAATGAACCCCTTCACCGCCCCAGCAGTGTTCAGATGTGTCCCTTCAGGGGACAGCGGTGGGTCGTGCATGGTCATCCTCACAACAAGGTAGACTTAGTTCTTCATGACGTCTTCATTCGATGAGGGACATGTGGAAGATCCAACAAACAGTCTCCTGCGTCTTGCTGTCTTCCCCATCATGCAGGAACACAGGCAAGTTGGATGTACAAATCAGGAGTCACACAGCGGCCTGCTGGAACCTTCAGGATGCCAAGGAAGATCTTCATTCATTGACTTCACCAAAAGAGATTCCCGGAAAGCAGGCACCAGCACCCGTATATATTTTTGATAGCATATTGGCGGCCTAGCTCTGGGATCTGTGCAGTCCTAATGCATCGTTTCTGTAGGACTGAGTGTAATATGTTCACTTACCACCACCCACCTCTCAGACTCTCTCTACGGCTAATACTTACAGTGTGACTAGTATAACCCCCATTGTGTCCATTTTTGTGTTGTTTACAAACATGCTGCCAAGCGCTAAAGCCATCTGATGTCACTTTGTTTGGTGAAGTGTTTGGCAAACCTTTTTTTTGGGTTTTGGCACCAGGCTTTGTATGATAGTATGATGGCTTCCACCAGGGGGACTTTCCACCAGGAGGGGACTGGGACCTTCCACCAGGGGAAGACTGGGAACCTTCCACCATGGGGACTAGGACTCCAGCAGGGGGGAACCTTCCAGCAGGGGGGACTAGGGTCTGGCTGGGAACTTTCCACCAGGAGAGGACTGGGAACCTTCCACCCTTCCACCAGGGGAAGACTGGGAACCTTCCAGCATGGGAGGACTAGGAGCCTTCCAGCAGGGGGGAGGACTTGGAGCCTTCCCAGCAGGGGGAGGACCTTAGGAGCCTTCCACCATGGGAGGATTGGAAAACTTTCCACCAGGGGAGGTCTGGAACTTCCACAGGGGGAGGTCTGGCAACTTTCCACCAGAGACTGGGACCTTCCTGGGAACCTTCCACCGGGGGAGGACACCGGGGGAGGACTGGAACCTTCCACCAGGGGAAGACTGGGAACCTTCCACCAGGGGAGGACTGGGGAACCTTCCACCAGGGGAGGACTATGGGAGCCTTCCAGCAGGGGAGTTCTGGGACTAGGGGAGAACTTCCAGCAGAGGAGGACTGGGGGGACCTTCTGGGAACTTTCAACCAGGGGAGGACTGGTAACCTTCCACCAGGGGCCTTCCACCAGGGGATTTGACTGGGAACTTTCCACCACAGGGGAGCATTGGAAACCTTCCACCAGGGGAGGTCTGTGAACTTTCCACAGGGGGAGGTCTGGGAACTTTCCACCAGGAGAGGACTGGGAACCTTCCTCCGGGGGAGACTGGGGGACTAGGAACCTTCCACCGGGGGACCTTCCAG